AAATGAGAATTTGAAGCACAAACAGCAAATGCCAGATTCATTAAACAATAACTATATAAATATGCAATACAGTATGTATGTATGTAATGCATGTATATAACAACATAATACCACAACAGCACTAATATGCGTCAATCCTAGGACACTTTCATGTTTATTATCTGCTATAAACTATTACGTAATCTATAATTTGCTATCACGCAATAATAAACTAACGCAAATATCAACGCAAAACCGAATAATATAGTGCATGGTTCATATAAAGTTCAAAGAAGTTATGCGTGCAACATACTACATATATGACAATTGTATTACTCATTAGTTTTCCTCACATCATCAGTGATGCTGACAATAAATTGTTGTGTTCTGAATTATGTTGAATTACTAATATGAATTATATTGGAAAAAATTGACATGGTTGTTCATTGAATAAAATTTTATGGTTAAAATCAGTTTTTAGTCTTTTTCAACCCTTGGTCTCAGACTTTTGTCCAGTACCGTATATATATATATATATATATATATATATATATATATATATATATATATATATATATATATATATATATATATATATATATAATCGAATTCTAATTTATAATAATAATCAAGTCATAAAATAATAAAAATTTTTTGTGAATTTAAGTTATGGATTGTGTTCAAATGACAAGAAATAAATAAAGAACTGTGTTGTAAGAGAAAGATTATAAAAATGGAAAAAGGTACCAATATCTTCAACATACATTTTCATTTTAAACCACATAGGAGAACTATAGACAAACAAGAGAAAGACAAGATAGCAAATGCCATTGCAAAGTGGTTAGCTACAAACTGCAACCCATTGGTATTATGGAAGATGTTGGTCTGAATGAAGAATGTTATTAAGATCGCAATAAATGATTGCAGGCTTGAGCCATTTGTCACACTATCTATGCACAAAAGTGCAATTGACACTGCCCTGGCCAAATGCAGTAAGGTGTTGGGCCATTTAAACACATTTTTTTCTTTAATTTAAGTATTGCAGAAATAGGAAAAAAACAAATGAATTAAGCTTGGACAAAAGAAGAAGTCACTTATACAAGACATTTCAACCAGATGGAATTCGACTCTATACATAACTAAAACTGTTCACAAAAACAAACAGCCACTGAGCAATGTCCTCACCACTCATAACAAAGATTACTATGCCAATGTAAGCTGAAATGGACATATTACAATGTTTGGAAAAGTTACTGGAGCCCTGCAGGTATATTGTACATCATATATTTCTACCAGACTGGTTTGATTGCATGTGAGAGAGTGTGTAAGCATGATTATGAAAACATTTTTTTGTGTGCATAGGAGAATGCAAAGTATTATTGTGAAATGGGTTTGATTTTTCCACCTAGAAGTTCAGTCAGGTATGTGACTGAATTTCTGAGTGGAAAAAAATGCTTCATGCTCTGTGGTTCTGTTTGATTTTTTCTGTCTCTTTCAAGTGATGGCGAACTCAGATGATGACGCTATGTGGTCAAATTTAAGCCTACATTCAGATTAGACCTGGAGACACGCAAGGAAAATGCCAACATTGCATATCTAAAGATTGCAACCTCACCAGACCAGAGATTCAAAGGCCTCAAGTACCCAGACCCAGAGTTGAGAATGGTGAGGCATGATTCTCAGTCACTAACTTACTCAAGGAACAGAGGGTTATTGCAGATGAACTTGTGGAAGCAACAACATCAAAGCCATCTAAGAGAAAGTTTGCTCTATCACTTATTTTATCAGAAGAAGACTCAATTGAGAACGGTGTGAGTAGATACAGTGCAGAGCCTACCATCAGTACAGAGGCCTGTCCATTTCAGTGGTGGTTCAAACATGCATGCACACACAGCAGGCTGGCCTCAATTGCACAGAAGTACTTGGTAACACCTCCAACATCCATACCTTTCGAAAGGTTGTTTTCTCTTGCTGGTCATATTGTACAAAAGAAGTCTCTTTATCATATGAAAATGTGAATGACCTTGTTTGCCTTAGGAACTGGCTTGGTGAAGATGAGTAAGTTAAGTAACTAAAATTAAGTAACTAAAGTAAGTTAAGTAACTAAAATTAAGTAACTAAAGATGAGTAAGTAAGTAACTAAAATTGGAATAGATAAAAAATTTTAAAATTTTGACAAACCAAATGTTATTGCACTTTTGTTCATACAGCAGAACTATGAAAGAAGAAATTTACACAATTCACTACTTGAGATTTAATTATTCAACTTTTCATATTTCTGATATTAATCACAGAAATGTCATTATATATATATATATATATATATATATATACATATATATATATATATATATATATATATATATATATATATATATATATATATATATATATATATATATATATATATATATATATATATATATATATATATATATATAGATAAATCATGTTTTCTTTAAGTCATTAAGTTTAGCTATCAAATCTTTTATTTCACCTGGATTAGCATCTCCTGCTGAAATAACTTCTACATCAAGTGTTCTTGGACTTTTTCTTTCTCCTGTTTTGTCAGATTTCTTTTTTGTGTTTTTACTAAGTTGTGTTAGATTAATCTGTTTCTTTTTGTTATTTTTAATCAGCTAGACCAATAGCCTAGTGTGCTGCCAAAATATGATTCATGTCCATCTTCTTTCAGCTGGACATGAACATTTCTCTTTTGAAAACAGTTTTACCACACATGGTTCAATAGATCCTTTTACAATAAAGGAGCATAATTAAAATTTCTTATGATTTTATTAACCCTTTCTACATAAGTTATAATAGTTGTATTTTGCACTTTTAAATATATCATGCATAACTAAATAAATTCATTGTTGATGGTTTCTTTAATGCGTTCAACAATTTGTTGTGGTGTTGTTGTATCTGGAATATGAAGATCATATTCTTCATAAGAACTTTTCAATTCCATTCTTAATTCATATTGGTCAGTTCCTTTTTGAGCACAATAAACTTTCACCATACTATATTGTATAAGTCTATGTAAGCTTAAAGCCATTGAATCTACAGTAGCCTTTTTCCAGTCCTGTAGTTGCTTAACTACATTATTAAATGATTCTGATTGATTTGTTGTAATTTCAAGTATAAAATATGGGCATACTGATTTCATATGTTGCCAAAATATGGAATGGGGCATTAGTGTTTTCCGCTCATGTATCATAAAAACTAATAAAATGATTGGACTTAGGTCAAACTCAGTTTCTCTAAATAGCAAAACAGAAAGTTAGAAGTCACCTAAAGGAAAAGTTGCATCATATGATAGTTGCTGAGATAGTTGAGACAATTTTATCACTTGCTGAAAAATTTGCAGTGTTTTACCCGAGTACTCAACTAACACCAAATCAGAAAATGTTATAATATTATGAATAAAATTTGTATCATACGCTAATTCATGAAGGTTGTATAAACTATCTCTAGATAAACGCTGTTGATTGCGTGTTGATTTTAAAGTATTACTGACTTATTCCATGTTATGTGAAACTGCTGTTATATTTTTATCAGCTATATTTGGTACCATTTTTTTTCTTAGAATAATTTTCGAACAGAACCTGTACTCTCCTTTAATTTGGTTTATGACACCTAGCTGTGTCCTGATAAAATCTCTATTACATGTAGTAGCATTTCCATGAGGAAACTGCACAGCCTTAGTATTATCACATATGTATGATATCATCACCTATGTATGATATCAGAACTGAATTAGCATAATCAGCATGATAGTGTGCCCTATGCGCAAACACACCACTCACTGTGTCCTGTGCAACAAGAATTTTAAAACATTTCCTTTTTATTCTATTGTCCACTTGCCTCCACCTGTAACCATCTGCATGCCAATTTTCTAAAGAACATTATATGTTAATCTAAATAATTTTCTATATATCTAATATATATATATATATATATATATATATATATATATATATATATATATATATATATATATATATATATATATATATATATATATATATATATTAGATATATAGAAAAATAATTTTCTATATATCTAATATATATATAAATATATATATATATATATATATATATATATATATATATATATATATATATATATATATATATATTAGATATATAGAAAAATAATTTTCGATATATCTAATATATATCAAATATATATCTAATATATATATATATATATATATATATATATATATATTCACATGTTACTTTTATCTTTATCATTAGTCCACGAGAAAATGAAATGAGTACCAACTTTTGGTTTGTACTGAACAGAGATTTCCATGGGAAAAGATTTAAATATAATAAACATTCAAATATAATATCTTGTGTGGCCATTAAAATATAATGCTTTGGTTCGCAAAAAATGTTTGCATTTTACCAATTTGCAGTTTGTGGTTTGTATTATACAAACTACCTAATATTTCCTTGAAACTTTGCAACTAAAGGAATGAGTCCATGCATTAACTGACTTGAACAGAAAGAACATGCAGGAAGTGTACATGCATTGGGGAAAGGGTTAAGGTTGAAGTTAGGATTCCCTGCTCTAACTCAAACCATTTCAATGTATTTACATTCCTCGCATTTTCTCCTTATTAAAGTCAGTTGGTGTTTATACACTCCATGCATGTTCTCCCTTTTTGAATCAGTCCATGTATGTACAAAAAAAAACTAAAAAAGATAAATACAAACAAAATAAGCAACAAAAAAGTGTAAAAAAACACATTCTGCTTTATAATTAGAATTGCATTTAAAATATAATTACTTTTAATGCTACTATTGCATAAGAAATCTGCTTATCAAAATAATTTTCACAACAATAGTAATAATATATATTTTATCTGAAAAAAACTTAGCTGATGTTGAATTGAAACTTTATTAGACTTCAATAAATTTAACTTAGTTTGAATACTAAAGATATAATAAGTTATTAATTTGATGTACATTACTATTAGTTATGATAAATATTTTCTACTAAAACTTACTGTTGCTGACTTGGCCTCATTAAAACGTTCTGATTTTGTTAGATGTTTATATAACTCTCCTTGTGGTGCATACTCCAGTATAAGAAACACGCGCTTCGCATCATAGAAGTAGCCATATAATCTTAATATGTGTGGATGTCTAAAAATGATGTTATTACTTACATTATTTTACTCAAAATCAAAAAAGACTAATATTTTTTAACATTTACCCTTTAACTTTTACCTACTGAATGAGAGGAACAGTAAAGGCTGTGGGATCAATAAAATTGTTTAAAAACTGAAAGGCTTCAGTTAAAAACAGATTTTATTACCGAGGACATTAGATAAACAAAAATATTTGAAAAATAAACTTTAATCTGATTACTGATTATCTTGTATTATAATTATCCTTTTTTCTTTAGTAGTTAATCTCTATACTAAAAGAGAATTATGAGTATACTAATGCTAACTAAACATTAGTATACTTTTTTTTCTTTTTTTGTCTATAATTTTTTTTTAAGTTCTTATGTGTGCATGACATGATAACTTAAAATAAGAATAGCTTTTGTATAAAAATTGCAATACCTTAAAATAAAAAAACCAATACCTAGCTCAATCCGATTACAGTTAATTTTTAGACTTGACAATTGTTTATGTATAACTCTTTTCATTAGCCCATAGATCATGCATAAATACAAAACAAAGCTTTATAAAGTTTTTTAATAAATATAAGCAGTGAAAAATAATAAAAACTGTTTTTGCTTATTGATATCTTTTTTCAAAATTAGGGTTTGCAAAAACCCTGAAAATTTCTGATTCTAGGATTAAAAACTGAAAAATCAAATCCCAGAATTTCCTATGAAATCCAAAATTATTATATACTTCAAAACTAAAAATATCATAACTTAATTCAGCATATTTCAGTAAAATTACTTGAATATAAAAAAATTTTTATATTCATTATTTTGTCTTTTGAAAATATGCTCACAGAAAGCTCAAACTATTTAAACTTTGATCATTTAATTGGCTGCGTATTTTACTGCAATAGTTCTGTGACAGAAAATGCCTTTTTTTTATCTACGATCGTTGGTTTAATCTTTATTAAAAAATCATTATCATTTTTTTGAATCACCCACAACAACCACTTTCAAATAATAACATTTCTTGATACTTTTTTCACTTGACAAATTTTAACGTTATCCATGGACTTTCTGGGATGACTTAAATTTGTGACATTTAATCAAACTTGCAATGACATTTAATTTTGCGACCCACTCTGTATAATTTGTTACTTAGTTTTTTAGAAAATTATTCAATTATTATATTTTTTTAGTTCGATCCCCACCACGTCCCTGGTAGTACCGCGGTCAACTCGTTTCTCCGCGCAGCGGCCTTGTTTGTCAAGATTCGTGTTTCGGAGTTATAGAGTTGAGAGAGGGTTATAGCCACAAATAAGTAGCCTCCTCGTCTGTAGTGGCCTTCTCGGCCTTGAGGAAGTGAATTAAAATTTAAAAAAATATATATATATTGTTATTTCGATCATTTTTTTGAATTTTCAATTTCTATATTGTTATTTGAAATAAATTATTATCGTTTATTTTGTAATTTCAGTTTTATTTCAAAAAAAAGTTTATAGAGAGTGTTTTCTTTGAGGAAATATTTTTCTGATTATTAGAAAAAACTAAATTTAAATTACTTTTTTTTAACAGTTTGTGAAAATTTTGTTTTGGTAAGACAATTTTCAATTAAAAATATAGACTTTTTTATAAAAATCTTTTATTATTTTAAGATTATTAGAAAAACTATATTTCAGCTACATTTTGAACAACTTGAATTATATGCAAATGAAGGTTATTGATATCCAGTGTGATTCTAATTTGATTCATATGCAAATGTAGGTTATCGATATCCAGTGTAATTCTAATTTGAAAGCAAAATTCACTCTAAGTTGGAGTGTCTAAATTTTACAAATATTTGCCAGTTGGATTTGAAAAAACTTGAAGATTCACATATGAAATTATGCCCATGTTTGAAGTACTGATCGGTGTGAACAGTTATTTTCTCTCATAAACGAAAATAAGTCTCCAATCAAATTCTATACTTCGCTTTTTTATTCTGAAAAGTAATGCATCATAAGTTGACAACTTATTGCATTATTTAATTCTTACTATATAAGCATAAACTCCAACGGAATGTCAGCAGTTATAAGGTTTGCATCATGTCAACAAACATACCCACTGCTGACTTTACTGGAAATGGCTTTTTTACTAGTTTAGAAAGAATTTTATACTTATTATCTGCCATTTTAATCAAATCATAAATACTGATATCAAAAAGCACCTTTTTTATCCAACTTATAAAATCTTTTAAGCATTGATAGTAAGCTGCTCCAGCTTGTTTTGCAATTTTTTATTAAATAAAGGGTTTTTTCCAAAATTGCTTTCCGAGTATTTTTGGGGACAGTTGTCACTTAAAGTTAATGATCTTTTAAAATTCAACACATTTTTCTCAACTTTATTCATCACTGGCCCAGTTTCTTTGTTTGTAATTATTACCTGAATTTATTGATTTTAACTATAAAACAATTCTCATATCCCTCAGCATCACTATCTGATTCACATCTTTTACTAAATTTAGATTAATTTTCTAAAACCTTCTACGGCATCATCAACTTCCTCTACTAATTATTTCTGCAGACAAATTGATGCTGATGTATTTTATTAAACTGACTTAATAGCCAGCTGAATACCATAAGCACACACTTTTCTGCTGGGATTGTTCCTACAATCCTCACACTAAACCCAAATTCAAAATATTATATTTAAATAATGTGTACTTTGAATTGACACTGATCAAATGAAATTAAAAATTTAGTCCACATTAAATTTTGTGTCGCAACTCATTTTTTATATCTATTATATTTCTGGAGCAATCTAGAATCATTTTTGTAACAGTATTAGGAGATTTAGGTATATTGGCAAACCACCTCACAGCCAGCCCAGTACATATAGCAAAAGAAGTGTATATTACGTTAAAAAAAATGTATATTACATTAAAAAATTTTCTATAAAGATAAAATTCATTGATCATTGAAAAATTTCAAACTTAAAAAAGCCATATGAGAAATATGTATAGAATAAAAAAATTAACTACTTTAAGTGTGATTGTATTTCAATTTCTCTTCTCAATTGATGCTCAACAGCTGCTTTCATAAGTTGTGATTTAAACAAGACCTATGAAATATTGAAAAACATCTTTTAAAATAAACTTTTTTTTTTTAAATATATATATGTGTATATATATATATATATATATATATATATATATATATATATATATATATATATATATATATATATATATATATATATATATATATATTTCGATGTTTAAATATTGCTACAATACCAAAATGTATAAATAAACAATAACATGGTCGGGGCAAAAAGAAGACAATATTAGTCTTATCACTAAATTCTATAGTTTACATTGTATTTTTACATTACAAGCAGTTATTTTATAAGATAAATTTTTTATAATACCATTAAAAATTAATTGAAATATATTTTTTTATTTAATTAATAAATATCAAAAAAAAAATGACAACCTAATAAAAGACTAAAAGCTCAAGATGTACAAAAAAAAAAATTAAATATAGAGCTGATTTGAGATAAAAAGTTATAAAAAGAACTATTTGTTAAAGCAATTAATCAATAATTATTAATATGATTAAGAGCCATTTTTTACATTGTTTAAGTTAATAATAACAACAAAAAAGCAAACCAGGTGGCTTGTTTGCATAAGGGAAAAAAAAATTAAATAAAGTTAAAAGAAGAAAGAAAAAAAAAACTGTTTTTTAACAGTTTTGGTTTAAAAACCTATTAGCTTTATATAAGCCAATATTTTTTGATATTTTGTTTTCTATTATATTTACGTGTTCACGGCACAAAAGATTTTGCCAAGAAATACACCTAAGAACAAGCATAAATGCTCTCTTTTTATATTAGAATTATCAATTTTCAATGGAATAATGGAAGTTTTAATGGAATAATTATTTTTTTTGTGGAGTCTATGAAAAAAAGTGTATTTGGTTTCTTTGACTTAAAACATACAGTTAAATTTGTGAGTTCCTTATTGACTGTTTCAAATAAGAAGTCAATGTTAGTCAATTAGAGTAAAACAAGTTTGTGTCATCGGCGAATAAAATTGAAGTTAAAATATAAGAAAACTTATGTAAGTCATTTATATAAACAAAAACGAGTAGTGGTCCAAGTATTGATCCTTGAGGAACACCGCATGCAAATGTCATATATTTTGATTTTCCTTTGTTATAGGATATATATTGTTTTCTATTTGTTATATTAATGTTTCTATTGTTCTATTAAAGTAACCTTTAAACCAATCAAAGTTTAAGTTTTTCATGACTAAAATAACTTTTAATTGTTTTTTTAACACTAGATAATTTAAGGATTATAAATAAAAAAAAGTTATAAAAATAAATTCAAATAGACAATTCAAGTGATAAGCTTAAATCATTTAATTTTAAAAAACAAAAAAGATAACAATTTACTTTTAATGCAACAATAAAATGACTCTGTTTTTCTCTTGCAAGGTAGACACTTCCAAATTTACCTAAAATAAATATATTTAAAAAATATCTTATTTTTAGTTGATTTCAATATGAAAACTGATATGTTAATAAATTACCAAAAATAATGATTAGCAAAACATTTACAAAACAATGTTAATAGTTGTTGTTTTACAAATGTAAAACAACAACTATTAACATATACAACTGTGCTTTGAAAGTTCTGAAAAGCCACATTTAAGAAGATTTTAAGAATGACAGCTTGTTGTTATTGATAGTTTTGAGGCCTATAGCTGTAGAGAAATCTGAGAAACACCAGTTTAATGTAAAAATGCTGACTTTTAAAACATAGCTCATTGGTGTTTTTGAAGGGTTTTTTGAGTTTTAGAGAAAGTTCAATATAATGCCATTATTTTCAATCAAGTTGAGCAAGGCTCGAACTAAGTGACCATGAATTGCAATATCTGGAAATATTTCTGGTCATTAAATTCTCAGTTTATTAAAAACCATGAACACAGTTTTAATGAAATGGTAATTTAAAATATTACAAAAATTAATGAAAAAACAAATCAAATTTAGTACTGCAAAAATAAAAACAGCCAAAACTTACATATTTTTATTTGTTTTTTTTTAGTCTTCTCTGTCTTTAATTTTGTACACATATTTGCAAAAGAGTTACAAGAATTTAATTTATAAGAAAATATTGATTAGGATTTAAATAAGATATAAAAGTATTTTGTATCTTATTTATTGATTTCTTTTATTTAAATAAAGGAATAACAGCTTTTGAATTTAGTGATAAAAACAGAGTTGACAGTATTTAAAAAGCTAAAAATTTTAAGACCAGGAACATTTCCAGATATCGCAATTCATGATCATTTAATTCGAGCCCTGATTTTTATATATATATCCTTATCTTGTAATTGAGATAGACTTTTATGGTTAAAAAAAATCTCATCCAACATTTTAATGACTTTAACAATTATACAACGTTTTAATGATGTCTAAAACAATTAAAATAATGCAGAAGTACATCAAGATTTATTGTTTTTTAAAAAACCGCAATAATAATGACTAGAAAGTTTTTTTAATTAACAGTTTTTTGTTTTTTTTAAAGATATTTTTGAAACATGCACATATTGTTGCTACATCGACTATCTTATAGCCTTCTGCTACAAGGAAATGCTGCTATATCAACTATCTTATAGCTGCTGTTACCAGGAAGCGGCTAAAAAAATTTTTTTTTCAGTTTAACATATTATAATAGAGAATTTCAGGCTAATCGAAAATCATTTAAAAACATTGGTCTCAATACCAAGGTATAGTGTTCTAGTTTGAAGTTGTATGTAGGAAAAAAAAAATCACAAAAATGCTAATACTTGCTATTTTTTATAAAAATATCAAATATTAGTTTTCTATGAGCGTTGAAATAACTAATAAAAACAAAAACAAATGGCTTTTGCTAGGCTCTTTTTTAAAAATCTAACAATGACAATTTAGTCTTCTCATCAACTTACCATTAGTTGATGTAAGTACATTTTGCCGCGCATATCCTTAACTGTCAGTCTATAAAAGTTTATTACCCATCGCTTATTTCTAATAGTAAGATAATGAAAGTATAACTTTGAATATAGTTAATGAACAATATAATATAATTTTCATTTACTACATCGTAAACATTAAAATATTAAAAAAATCAAACAATTTTTAATTTTAAAATAATTTTAAATAATTTTAAAAGTACTGTAAATTAAGATAGTAATGGTGGAATTGAAACTAACTTTTATGAGGAAAAGCAAAGTGTGGTTAACTTGGAAGTATATTATACAACAATCAAACAACAATATTATGAACTGAATCAATGGTGGACAATATGAACTGAATGGTGGACATTATGAACTGAATCAATGGTGGACAATATCAACAGCATTTTTTTAGACCCCTTTACAATACATTATACAGGCCTTGTGATGAATAAAAACTGCGCGACGCATAAGCACGACGTGATTTTTGATGTCATTAAATTCTTTTCATTTGCTTTTCATATTTATCGACATTAACTGCACCAATTTACTTAATTACCACAAAACTACTTTAAATCATTAATGTATAAATGTTATTATCTTAAAATGTTTTGGAATGTTTCGTTTTTTTAAAAGTAAAAACATTTGTTTATTTTCTCGACGTTTGACACGTTTTGTCTATACTAAACAAATAAAAAACATTATAACTAAACATTTTAAAAAAGATTATAAAATATGCTAATATTTGATTTTTTTTTTTCTCAAATATATAATTTGAAGTTTTTCAAATAATTATTTTTTCTTTTTAAAAAGTCAGTGAGTAATAAACTGGAAATTTTAATATTGTACGATTAAAAACTGTGCAATAGCTAATATTTTTACTAGCGATTTTATATAATATTATTTTATTTATTTATTTTCATAAAGCGGTTGATAAGCACAATCACTAGTATTACTAAACAACTTTAACAAACGTTTTGAATAGATTTTTAATGTTTACAAGGAATTTTATTTTTGGTAAAATAAAATAAAATGTTAGAATAAAAATATTATAGGTATAAAAGACATATTTCGGCGAAAAAATTATTCTTAAAAATTATTCAAAAAACTATTGACGTTCTATTTTTCAGCAGCTGATCTTGAGCATGCTTCGTTAAGTTTCGGTAACTTTTAACAAAAAAGCGATTGTTATTATTTAAGTAATTTTTTTCGAGTTACTTTTTTAAAAAAATTTTAATAGCTGTACTTTTTTTTATTGAATCAAGTAGAATACGTTTTAATACTATTCCTTTTTATTTTTTTTTATTTGCGCTTACCAATTTTAAAAATGTTTCCTCGAAATTACTCTTAAATACTATAAATACGTCTAACAGTTAATAAATATTTTTAAATCTATGGAATAATTTTAAAACCTAACAAACCTCCGTAAAATAATTATTTAAGTTAAAAATCTAAAACTAAAAGAAATTATTTTTGTTCAATTTTATCGGCAACTTTGCTATTGCTGAATAATTTTATTAAAATGTTACCTTAAAAAGATTTAAACTTTTTTTTTTATCTGAATTTTTTCTACTTGTAAATAATGAGCATATTTAATTTTTTTGTAAATCAAACTTTTGTATCAACTGCGCGTGCAGTTTTTAAAATACTTTATTAAATGTTAAAATAATCGTAAATTACTTCATTAAAATTCTGCTCAAAAATATCTTTAAATATACTCAAACAAAAAATTTTTTGCTCGACACAAATAGCCCTAGCTACACGCAAAATCGCTCGTGGACGACGTATAATTCACATCGCCCGACGCTTTATCGCAAGGCCTGATTATATGTTGTGGCAGAGTAAAAGCGACATGAGCAACTTAGTTACTTGGTCTGACTGTTGTGTCCCTCAAAATCGGAACAGCATAATATCAAATAGTGCGTTACATTACAAAATACTTCCTAGTCACTTAAATTACTACAAAATACTTCCTTTCTAGTCATTTATGTATCCAGAAAGTGGATTATGTGCATAATTAAATTGAAAAACTCACAAGAATAGCTGGTTTTTATAGCCCACTTGGATTGAAAAGGACCCTCAAACAGGTTAACAGAAAAAAAGCTCATCATTATTAATATGTTATTCAAATAAATCCACACTACTATTTAACTACAAGTTAGTCCCTTTTTCTATCTATAATTAAAATGACCCTATGACTTATGACTATGATGCTAAAGTCAAATTTGAAGAAAAAACCTAACAGAAAAAATGCAGGCACTAGCCCTTCTATTTCTAGAGCTTTGAATGTTAAAACAAAGATTTAAACTTGCACAATATTTGTATTTTCTTTTGTGCCTCTTGAGGACCGAGACCAACCAGTGGGTCTTTATCTATAAGATGACAGGATGCAATGAAAAGGTTTAGCTTTAAGGCAATAATGTAATGGTTATTAATTATAACATAACGGAAGAAACTTGTTAGATAATAGGGTAATTACTGTTTATTATTCTATTGTTTCAGTTACAAAATTTAAAAGTAGTTAAATACAAAACAGTTAATCACAAAACATTAAAGTAGCTAAAGTGTTTCTAACTACATTATAACCGCAGTTACAATCTTGTCATAGCGAAGATATGACTATATCAACAACTTCCACTATAACAACAACTGAATTCCGGGGGGCGAAAATCATGGGTGAAAAATATTATGAATTGATATGAATAAATTTTAATGGTAGGAACATAACAACTTTTGATATAGATTTACTCAAAACTACTCGTGGATTTAATTTATATTTTACTATAACCAACATTAACATTATAACTATTTTATTATTAACTAAACCAATTATTAACTAAATTATTATTAATATAATAACCAACAATAACCTTGAGAAGGCCACTACAGTCAAGGAGGCTCTCTTATTGTGGTTACAACCCTTGTTACAACTTTTTCACTCGGAAACACAAAACACCTTTGTAAAAAAGGCCCCTGTGCCGAGAAACAAGTTGTTTATTTGAATTTTAAGTTCAAATTTGAAGTTTAATTGAAATTTCAGTTACTTCATCCCATCCTCCAGTGTTCTTTTTCCCATTTCTCATTGACATTTTGAATTATAAAAAATGTTACTTTTAAATTTAAAAAAAAAAAAATCAATACATATAGAACTAATGCAAAAAAAAAAAAAAAAAAAAAAAATCAGTTTTAAATTATGTTTAAAAACCTTTTTCAAAATAATTTGAAAACTTCTTGTTATAAATCATTAAATAACATTTATAAAATATTCTTTTAATAAAGTTAAGGTAGAAAATAATAAAAACTTTCAATATCATTAAACAAAACAAAAATTCATCAAATATGAAATAAAAATAAAATAAAACCTAAATTTACCCAATAAAAACTCAAAAAGACCCACTGGGCTGAATTTAAAAAAAAAAAAAAAAAAAAAAAAAACAGGTTTATACCAACCCAGTTTTAAACATTTAATAATTACTAAAATAATTACTAAAAAATATCTACCTTTAATATACTTTAAATTTTCTATAAATATTTATAAATAGTGTAGTATTTACAACTTGAACGATTCTTAAAATTTTTTAATGATTTTTCTTTGAGTAAATTAAGCAGTTACGCTAAGTAAATTCATGTTACAAAAAAGAGCTTCAAAGAAATGCCTTTTTTGAGACGCTTTGAATTAACTCCTTAGCTTCAGATAAAACTAAACAAGGCAAATGCAAACAAAATGATATTTAAAATTTAACTTTTCCTATATCTCATGTCAAAAATACATTATAAAATAAATTAAAATTACCTTTTCCAAGTGGTTTGCCAATATCAAAATCAGATAGAGACCAACATCTGTGTAAAAAAAAATGAATCCTTGAAAAATCAGAATGAAAGTTCTCTAATAATTTTTTTACTTGAAAGAGTTTTATGACAAAAAAATAAAAGTTTGTTAAAATTTATTCTCACTTAACTGTTACAGAAGCTTAAATACCAATAACAAATATTTACCAACTATTTTGTTAAAGTGAATTGATAAGAAGTTTAATTCTTTTTTTAAATATTTTAAAACAAAGTTGGTATCAAGCTTTCTGCTTGAGTAAAGCAAAAACAATTTACCCAAATTTTTGAAAACAAATTTCAGTAAATTGATATAAGCATACTAAAGAGTTTTAAGTTTGAAATTTTCAGCTAAACACAACTAACTTATCAATAGGCGGAGGAGGATTTTCTTTACTTTGATTTTTGGGTTCTTTTTGATCTTGATTTTCTTTTTCTAAACTACTTGGTTTGTCAGATTTTTGAAGCATTGTTTTTACAGTTCCTTTAGACGAATTCTGAAAAAAAATTACAATAAAAAACAAATATAGTGGACTGGCTCTATATTTTATATTTAATTAAATAGTTTATAGATGTGTTTAATATATCAATAACATATCTGAAAACAACATTATTTTTTATTAGACCTAAATGAAACGTGTAAAAGTGTATCTTTACCAGGGTAATTTAGTCTTTATTGAGCTTACTTCTCAGAGTTGTTTTATTTTAACAGTTTATTTGATAACTGCAAAACTTTAAGTTATTTTTAATAACTGCAAATCCTTTAACTTAAGATATATACTAGTTATTGAGATATTGCCAGTTAAAATCCCCACCCACTTCCACCCTACCTTGTATCAATCAAATTGATCTTTTAGTCGTTGTTGACATTCTGTTTGTTTTCTTGATAGTTTTATAAAATCTAATCCTAAATTTCAAAAATTTATTAAAACTTCACTGACAGTGAGTTGATTTATAAAAAATTCAAATGTATAGCTAAATTTTAAAATCTTTATCCAGATCTAATAAATAGAGGGAGGAGGGGAGGTTCTTAATAAACAGGGAGGTAAGAATTTTCATTTTGATTTCTATAAGTTTATATTTTATATTTTTAAGACCAGTTCAGGTCTTAAGAAAATAATAAATTATATATAACTAAAATAATAATTCTTTGATTTTTTCATAAATCCTGTTTTACAAGTAACAAATTTAAGTAAATTTGACTGTTTTTTTTTTTGTTTGTTTAAGAAAAGACAACTTTTAATTAACTTTTAATTTACAGAAAAGACACAAAAAAACTATCAGTTCTATTTTTGTTAATAAGATATATAAATAAGATATATTTAAAAAGTATATAAATAAGATATATTCAAAAAGTTCAAAGATCAGGAGGTAATCCACTTTTATTTAGGGTAGTAGTCCTACTATTAAAGACCAACTCATCATTGTGAGTGTAGATTCAAATATCATGGACTTGCTTTGAGAAGAAAATTGTCCAAGGATTGCCCAAGAAAACCCAAGTGAACTGACTAAGCAACTGCATACTTGATGTGGAAAATTATAATCACTGGTTTCAACTCTTGTTTCAAGAGTTAGTTCATTAGAAGCAGAAAATGATGCAAAACGTCTTGAAATTGATTGTCTTAAACAAAATTCTAATAGTATAAGTATTGTTAATACATGGGCTGGCTTCATTAACAAAGATAGAAATGATACCTCTAAAAAGAACAATGCAACTTTATTTGCCAAAATCACGAAGGAAAGTAATGAAAAAAGTAGAATTGAAAATAATATTATCAGTTGTGTGGCAGAGTCTTCTAACCAGAATGATGATAATAAAGCCGTAGATGATATTCTGGCCATTTTGAAACTGTCCAGAAATGATGTTAAGGTTTAGAGGAAACTCAAAAAGAAATATGTTCCTTCTGAAGTTTCTTAGTTAAGTAATTAAATGCAACTCAGACTAGCCAAATGATTTCACATCCTCTTCTTATATTAGTAGAATTTGATAGTCATGGAAACCATCACACAGCACTGGAAAATGCTAGATATATCAAGAAAGTGATTGGTTTTAACAGAATTTATGTTAGAACTGAACAAAACAAAAATGAGAGGATTGCATCTTCTAATCTCTGTGCTGAGTGTAGAGCCAGAATGAAAAGTTGACTGAAGAAATAGAAGGTACTGAAGGAAGGCTCTGATACAGCATTAGAGATGGCAAAAAAGCTTTTTAGGCTCCATCTTGGGTCAATTTGTTGGACAGATAAAAAGGAAGTCTAAAACTAATTAAAAAATGTCTAGGCTGTTATAGTCACATAGATCCAGTTAAGGCATTTTTTCATCCTCTTCTTATATTACTATTTCAGATGTTAAATGCTTTTATACAAATGCTACATCGTTGGAGAATAAATGGACTGATTTCAAAGCTCAAATAACCACATTAGATCATCCTCATATAATAGCCATTACAGATACCTGGTTCAATTCATCATCCCTGACCTCTATAAATAACTACACTGAATATTGACAAAATAGAGAAGGTAGAGGCGGTGGTGTAGCCAATTATATTAGAAATGATATTCACTCATTAAATTGCGAGTTTAATGATCAGCAGCTGGCTAAGCAAGTTAGGTACAAGATTGTTATAGGACATAATCGTCTCTTAATGTGATGTATTTATCGTCATCCTTGATGTAGTATGAGTCTAATGTTAAAATTAATGAGTCTATTGCACGTGCTAAAGCATTCGTTAATAATAGAATATACACTAGTTTACTTATTGTTGGTGACTTCAATCACATTGATATTAAATAAACCCATCTGGGTGGTCATTGTATTTAAGGAAAACCAGCTAGTCGTGAATTTCTTAAAAATATTAGTGATTGTTTTCTCACCCTGTTCGTTACTGAACCTACTTTTCTCAACAACATATTAGATTTGATTTTTTTCTGACGATCCTGATCGCATTTTCAATGTTGTTGCTGGGTCTGCTGTTGGCTGTACAGCGAAAAATTGCCTTCATTATTCGTTGCTATGGGACTTTAGACTAACTTCTCAAATCAATGTACTTGTTCTTCATAAAATAAATTTTATCCAAGAAAAAGGTGATTATAATGCTAGTCTAGCTCTTGATGCATTCGATAGGACTGAGATGTTCAATAATAAGTCAGCTGATGAGTGCTTTGGATTATTCATATAAGCTTACACCTCTCTTTGTGAACAATTTATTCCTAAGCTAAACGCCTCATTTAGACCTCGTAAATGTAATTCAAAATGATTTAATGCTGATTAGAACTGCGTCTAGAGAGAAATATAGGCTGTTTATGAAATTGCGATGTTGTTCTTCAAAATATAAAGATAAAATTTGTATATTGTACAATAAGCAAAATCGATCAGTTAAATTAAATGCGGAAGCTGTTTTAAACTACAAAAACGATATAATAAAAGTGTGTAAATCTAATCCAAAGAAGCTCTATGCTTATGTAAACAGCCTTTTTTTTTTTGATCGCTTATTAATTCTGTTGGTACTGAACTTGTTGATAAAAAAGCTATTGCTGATTGTCTGAATGAACAGTTTTACAAATCCTTCTCTAAACCAACCAATAACCCAGTTAATCCAGACTTTCCTCTTTGTACTAAAGCCTGTTGCGAACTAAATCTTGAAACACTTTTTTGTCCAAATAACATTGAATTACTACTTTCTAAGTTAGATAATCTTAAAGTATTGATCTTACTAGTATTGATGGTATCCATCTGTTTGTATTGAAAAACTCTAGCAGAAGTTTTTGTGTACCGCTTTCACTTGTGTCTATAAATTCATTCGAGTCAGGCCTGGTTCCTTATGTTTGGAAACAGCCAAACATTACACCAATAATTTAAAAAGGTTTACGCACAGATCCAGGTAATTATAGGCCAATCTCTTTGACCTCTACAGTTAGCAAACTAATGGAGAAAATTGTACGTGATATGATGGCTGATCATTTGCTCTTAAACAATCTCTTGTCGCCATATCAACATGGATTTGTAAAACTAAAATCAAGCGCAACTAATCTTCTAGAGGTGCTTGATAATATTACTGAAGTGCTTATTGATGAATGTGCAGCTTTACTAATTCTCTTGAACTTTGCCAAAGCATTTGATAGGGTGTCTCGACACCTGCTTGGTGGCGAGTCACCCTTTTCTCATATTGGTTGGTTATGGTTATTGTACCCAAATTAAAGTTTGGTTTTAAAGACTTTCTCAGCAAAAGGAAGCAACGTGTTGTTTTGCGTGAGGTTTGTTCAGATTGGATTGAGGTGTTGAGTGGTGTGACCCAAGGCTCTGTTATTGGACCACTATTGTTTCTTATTTTTATCAATGATATGCCAGAACTTGTAATAAATTATTGTAAATTGTTTGCTGATGATTGTCAACTAGTTGTCAAATTAAAAAATGTTCTTGATTTTGTTCGTGTTCAGGCTGACATATATTCTTCAAGTGAGTGGTCTAAAATGTGGTGTATGGATTTCAGCATCAGCAAATGTAAAGTTTTCAAGTTTCACCGCAGATTATTGTATCTCAAGGACTCCCTTTACATGGAGGGCAATGCTGGAAATCAAATTTAACTAGAAAATATCTGTGTTGAATGAACACTAGGAATTTATATTAACACCAAGCTCAAATAGGCTGAACAAATAAACCATGCAGCACAAAAAGCTAATATGGTTTTAGGAATGCTTAAGAGAACCTTAAAAAAATGAGAGTATATTTCTCAAACTCTACACATTTTATGTTCGTTCTCTGCTTGAGCACTGCGCACCAGTTTGGAATCTATTCCTTAAAAAATACATTGAACAACTTGAACAGGTACAGAGGCGTGCTACTAAGTTACTGCCTCAGTTATGGAACCTGAATTATAAATCACGTCTAGCTAAGTTGTGTTTAACAACTTTATACGAACGCAGAATAAGAGGTGACCTGATAGAATATTTTAAAATTTCCAAGAACTTTAATATAGTTAAGTGGCAAAACCATACTCTCAGTTCATTAACAGTCAATGGCCAAATTGGTGGTCTATGCGGTGGGAAATTTGAAACCCATAAAGAATTTACTAGAAATTCAGCCAGACATAACTTTTTATGCAATCGTGTAGTACCTTATTGGAATAGTCTACCAGATTTTGTCATTGATTTAAAGATGGCTGACCAATTTAAAAATAACTATGACAAATAGATTAATTCAATTGTTTGTCAGTCTACTACAACTGGGTCTCGATAGATTCCCAGCTAATAGAAGTTTCAAACTTTTACTGTAAAATAAAAATATTAATAAAAAATAATAATATATATTATATCAGGCCTTGGCGGGAAGAAAGAGCTTTAGCTATTGCCCACACCCCCCTAAAACGGTTTACGGGATTTACAGCTCTCGCAAAAGTATAATTTTTTCTCTCAAAAGTTTAATTATCATTGTAACTAAAATAATAAACGCAGTCATTTTAATAATTATCTTTAACAATTCTTAAAATCCCTGCATTCTA